GGCAGTGGCCACCATGTGCGAACCCAAGCCCCTGCCCCCCCCCATGCCCCACCCCTCACCATGGCTGCAGAACGGTCATGGAGCTGTGCTCCGGCTGCATGCCAGCCTCCCTCTCCCCGCTCTTGGGCAGGTGGCCGGGCAGCATGTGTGCGTCCTGCATCGCTTGCCTGCAAAGCGCCCCGCATAGAGGGGCACCCCTGCCCTCACCCCGTGGCCCTGCTTCCAGCTGCAATGTGCCGCCTGGGGCCGGCAGCACCCCCCACTCCCTCAGTTCCCAACCATCTTCCCCAGCCCTGACCCACAGCCCCACTTACCTCTATGCTCCAGGGGCAAAGGGCAAGTCTGAGCCTGAGCCCAGCCTTGGCTGCATCAGAGGCTCAGGCCTCCCCCTCCCCCCTCTTCCTCCCCTTCTGGCCAGGGCTGGGGTTTCCCACCCTTTTTGCAGTTGGCTCTTGCAGGCTGGAGCTGTGCCAGCCTGCAAGAGCTCTTTGCAAAAGTGGAGAATCACTGGATTTCTCTGTTAAAAAGAGAAATCCGCGTTTTCTCCTATAAAAACAGGGAACCTGGTTTTCTCCATTTTTTCTGTAGGAAACGGAAAACCCAGATCCCTGGTCATTAGACACAGCAGCAGTTAAACAATAACAATTGTACTACATGCTATTGTATATATTCAGGCACATATATGAATCTCTGTCTATACATAATCTATACATAAACAGGCACACACCTCTTCTGAGTATCTCCATTATCTTACTGGGAAACTCATCCATTCGTGCACCATCTTCATTGTCTTTATGCTGTGTGTCTCTCACAGTTAGTGTCATATTTACAATTTAGATTAGAGTGTCAAACTTATCTGGGATGGAGGAGGGATGTGGGGCGAGTCCACAGGCTGGATCAGGCCCATGGACTGCCCCTTCCTGCAGCCAACATGATGGATTCAGCACGTGCAGTGCCAGCCTGTAACAGCCCCCCATCCGACTCACCTGCCCACGCTGGCGCGGATGCTTGGCGCCCACATGGTCAAATTGGCACCGCACCAGCTTGAAGTGTGCTCCTCATTGACACCAGAGTGATGGGCCAAAAGTGTGCCAGAGATGGGGGCAAGAGGGAACAGCAGCCAAGGGACTTGAAACAGGCCCAGCTGTTCCAACTCCTGCCAGAGCCCTGAACACTCTTCCCTGCTGCGGGAGAAGCCAAGGAGGTGCAGGCTATGCATCCCACAAGGAATAGACATCTGGCTGTGCCCCAGACAGCAGCCAGTGAACCAGCTGCATTTCACCCAGGAAAGACTCAAGGAGCAGAAGTAAGTACAGTGCTCGCTGGGAGCATCAGAGAGATGCTGCTGGCAGTCTCTGTGGCAGGCAGCAAAAATCCAGGCCCACTCTGAGGCACAGCAAGTGCCGAGCACACACGTGGAGCCCCCGCCTGAAAACCCTAGCCCAGCAGAGCTGGCAATAGGTACCCAGGGAAGGGCTCCCCAAAGCAGTGTCTCAGCCATACGGGCTCACCAGTGATGCCCGTGGACCGGGGACTCGTCAGCAGGTGACTGGGAGGAAGCACATACCTCATGGGGGTGCAAGAGTGACCACCCCAGAGCAAAGTCAGAACTAGCCTAGTGCCAACCTGCTCAGAGACTGCACATTCACAAGGGATAAGAAGAGGAGAGGGGGCAGAATGCCTGAAGTAGCTCGCACTCCCCAGAAAGAGGGAAGAAGCTTGGGGCAGCGAGGCACCAGTGCCCTGTCTGGCCACTAAGCTGAGCTGTTTTGAGTTTATCTTCTCTGTTTAGTTAACATTCTTTCATATTCCTACATTATCACGAGCAGGGGATGGACACCTAAGGATCCAAGCCACAACCTAACACTGT